AACTAATTCAGTGTCATTAAGAGCAAGCAGGAACTCACCTGAGAAGGTCTTCAGTCCCTGTGTGGGCTCCATGCCTATGATCCAAACTCTTCCCGTTGGATCCTGCTTCCCAACAAAGCCATACTGAAACCCAACTTCAACATGAGTTTTGGCAAGTCAAAAGTCATTTAAATCATGGTATATCCCTATCTCTAATAAAACTAAATGAAACACAGATTACTATTCTTGCGATCTTGGGGCAGGGAGAAGCTGTTTGTCTAAGCACGACAATCATCTTTATAGAAGAGATGGACCCATTTGAATACACAAAACATTAAATTATTATATGTGATATGGAAACACTGTAAACATGGTTGTAAGGTAACTAAATGATAAAGCACAGACAAGGAATAAAACAATTCAAATCAGGTGGTGGCACATGTCTGTTATTCCATTACTCACGTAGTTAAGGCAGGAAGATCACCGGGCTACAGTATGAGACGGTCTCAAAAAAAATGAAGTATCAATAGCAACAGTTCATATGCAGATTACTGTTGTCAGCCAACACTTATAAAAGGAAAGAAAATGCAAATGCATGTAGGTAACTCACACCAGTATAAATTTAAGAACTGCTAATTAAAAGGTACTGTTGGTCATTTTCTTGATTACAGACAAAAGAAACTGCCACCAGTTGGTTTCAGCAATAAAGGAATTTATAGGAAGCCTATCAGGTTAGCTCACAGTGAAAACAGAGCTGGAGAAACAGGCTTGGGCAGAAACTCAGGGAGGCAGACACCAGTAAGAACTTGTCACTAATGTAGCCAGCAGGACACTGGCTGCAGCCATGTCTGGCATTATCCCTCACTGATGTCACACTGCTGAACACACACTTATGGGGTTTAGTGATCTGAAGTGTCATCTCCAACTAACCTTGTTTCCACACTTTCAGAGTCTAAGTCCAGAGAGGCTCATCTGGTTGGTCTTCCTTAGGTCACCTTCCTGGGTTCTAGCTAATAGGGTGGGAAGAAGACATTCTCCCCAAACCCTGCTCTGTTTTCACAATGGAAGCTTGAATTCCCTCCCCTAATTTTGTATCCCTTCCAAACTGGAAGTTGGTTTGAATGTTGAAGAGCTAAAAGCCCAGCTTGCATTTAACCTCATTCGTACAAATAAAAGCACATCAATATGCCAGCTAAGATCATAACACTTCTTTTCATGTCTGTTAAATTATATTGCTGTCTTCCCCATGGCTACTCATCAGAGTATGTGGCACTTTAATACATTATCAAATATCAACACAAATGTGAAGACAGGCATTAATCCTTTCCAGAGATGAAAGGATAATTCTCAAAGAAACAGAGGTTCCCCCCAAAATCTCTCCACTATTAAATGGTGTTAACTTGTTCAAACCCAGCCTTCTGACTCCTAAAAATGGAGCCTTATGGGTTCCTTTTTTTTTATTAAAGTTGCCAATGTGATAAAGATAATAAAATTCAGCACCAGCTCCTGGATGGGAACTGTGTTCTTAGATAAACCTGCCCCAAGGTAGGCTTGACAGTATATGAAGTACACAAGCTCCTTGACCGGAGTTTCAGCATAAGGGTAGTTGAAAGAATAAATAAAGCATAGGCTAGGATACTCCCCATTGTGCTCTTGTTTCTCATTTGTGTTTCCCTAGCTTAAGTGTAAGGGAGGGACAGTGGGATATTTATTATGGAATGTTGGTTCCAATAAGTTTTAAAGAACAAACATATTGGGCTGAGAGATGGTTCAGTAGTTAAGAATGCTGGCTGTTCTTCCTGAGTACCTGGGTTCAATTCCCAGTACCCACAGGGTAGCTAATGTTTGTGACTCCAGTCTCAGGGAAGCTGATGGTCTCTTCTGGTCTTCTAGTACACTGTACATATGTGATGCACAGACATACATTCAGGTAAAATACTCATAAAAATATATGAAATCTAAGAAGAAGAAGAACAACAACAAACAGATTAGTGCTTCAAAAAGGAACTCTTCAAAGCCTGTTCTGTATAAGCCAGGATTGGATGGTTTGGGGATCCCTGGGGACCAATATGCCTAGATTAGTAGGACGAGCTTGGGAAGGCAGTCCTCAGATATCCCTCCAGGAGTTCTATGTAATTTGAATGTAATCTGTAGAGTGAGTGATCTTAATAGAGAATTCAAATGAGCAAGATGGGTGAAGTCTTGTGGGTTAAGCCTACAGTATACTGAAAGTGACTGGTGGCTTGAATTAAGATGATCCCTTTATAAGCTCATGTACTTGAGTGCTTGGGACCTAATTAGTGGAACTCTTTTGGGTTTTAGTAAGAATTAGGAGGTATTTCCTTGTTGGAAGAGTTGTGTCACTGAGGGTGAGCTTTGAGTTTTTAAAAGTCCACACTAAGTTCAGTCTCTCTGTGTCTGTCTGTCTGTCTGTCTGTCTGTCTGTCTGTCTATCATGCACTCTCACACACAAACTCTTGCTTTCGATCTCATTCTTTCTGCCTCCAAGTTTTGGATAAGATGTAAGCTCTCAGCTACTGCTTCAGCCTCCTGCCTGTCTCCTGCTATCATGCTTCCTACAATGATGATCATGGACTAACTCTCTGAAACTGTAAGCAAGCCTCCAATTAAATACTTCCTTTTATAAGTTGCCTTAGTCATTGTGTCTCTTCATAGCAATAGAACAGTAAGTAAGATGGTGGCTCATTGTATGTTGAATTCCAATAGGATCAAGTTAATGCTATAGCCAGAAAGTACTAAGAGATTCTGCAGAAACGATACCTCCAGGAGGTTCAAACCTAAGGCAAATTTTTAGGGATGAGGAGTGGTGAACTCAGTGAGGAAGTTCAAGGAAAGATACCTGAAGCAGGGAGATCAGCTTGGGCAAAGGTTCTCAATCAGGATCAAATCACTAGGAGCAGCAAGTATATGTGCAAAGGTGGAGGGCCATGGACTTCATCTTCTGTTGTCATTGGATGGCTTTCTTTCTGATGTTGCAAGGAGCTTGAGGTACAGTTAGGGTAGATGTTTTGATTAGGAGGCAGAAGTAGGGTTGGTTCCAGTCTATTCAGAGCAAACCAAGAACATCAGTATAGGATACCATACTTACTATTGTGTAGAAAGCTGGAGGCCAAACTGTTTACTTTGAAATGGGTGTAGGGCGGCCTTTCTATTTTTAAAATGTTTTGGGCTTTCTTTCCCAGTATCTCCATGTTTCAGTAACCAGGATACAGGTTAATCTCTCAGCAAAGAGGACATACAAAGACAACGTTAGAAACCAGTGGGTTTTGAGTAGAAGGCAGACTTAATGCATGCTGTTCTCCATTGCACTCTTTTTTCTTTTTCAAACTGAAGCAACATATAAAAATAGAATTCCCACCTTCACTCTAAAAATCAGATGATCTGGCAACACTAAGCCCTCACTCTCACATCTAAACAACTGACTGGAGGCAAGTGGCAGCCATCCCTTTAGAAGAATGTTAATTAGCACTTTGCCACTGTCCGAGGCAGTTCTTGTATTCCTAAGTCACATGAAGCATGACTTGGTCACCAGGATCTTTGTTCATGGTCACGACCTATCTGGTCTGTGTGATAGTAGTGGGTCTGTAACCTTTGGTTTAAAGGTCAAGGTTAAGGCTTTGAATCAAACTTGTGTTGAAATGAGATGTCAAAGGAAGTGAACTGAAGATTTTTGAAGGTATTCCACTCGTGGTATATCGTGTAGAAAACAGAGGTTATTATGGATGAGTATCCATCGAGAGTGTAAATTGTAGGAAGGCAAGCAGAAACCCAGTTAGTTTCAATCTTGTAGTATTCTCATTGTTTAGTACACTATTTGGCTCACAGTTAAGCTAGTCAATGGAGGGGTGAGTGAATAATAATGGATTAAAGGCTTTTTTTTTTTTTTTACAAAATTTTCCAGTAAGGCAAGTCTAATAATACTGGTTTGTTGGGATCCCAAGGCACATCCTGGAAGAAAAACCCACCAGAATGTGACAAGCTCCGTGACCGTGTTCGGGTGATACGCGGCAGTCCCTCGGGAGCCAGCTGGGTTAACTTGCCTAGGACAAGACGTCCATGAGCTCCATCACTACCTGGTAAGGGGCAGTTTAATTTCCGTACTTTCTCTAGATCGCTTCCATTTGACGAGCAAAGACGGAGACCCACCCCTAAAATCCACCACCCAGCGCCTGCCCAGCGTGTAGGGCTTTGCCCACACTAAACATGGCCAATCTTGGGCTTCACGCCGCAGAACCACGCCCGGAGCCTGGAGTCCTAGAGTTAAGCTTTAGGGA